GGATAACTTACTTCTGATATGAATAAATTCATGCTTATTGTTTGTTCAACTATTTGTCAATGTCAAATCTATTTAACTTTATCATCAACATGTTCAATCAAAAATCTATGAGTAGTAGTAAAAAGAGCAAAAAAAAAAAACTTTTTGAAAACATACACGTGCCAGTGAAATTTAACGTCTTGAAAGGAAAATGACAGTAAGAAAGAAAAAATTTGTACAATAAAGCAAACAAGAAAAAGAACACTTTTTCTTTTTTTTTCCTCACAATTTCCATTGAAAAGAGAGAAAGTAGTTACGACAACAAACATATGTATAAGTGCAAAAGTGTCATCCTCTTCAAAATAAGATCAACCTTGAAAATCTTATATACTTACTCTAATGTTCGATGAAGGATACTTATCCTAAATGACTATCTGTTTTATAGAATTATTTTATTTATGAATAAATCAAAACGTCAAATCATATCGACCAGAGAAAAAATGATTATAGTCTTTTGTCACGTATCTATTTTTCAAATGATCAGATCATTGATCTATCCATCTAACGAGAGATAGAGAGAGAGAGAAAAAATGTGTTGAAAATAGCAAAAATGCGTGAAGAAAACTATCAGAAGTTCAACGATTGAACGTGACAATCAAGCGATTAGAAAGTAAAAGTGAAAATGATCAATATCGCACGTATAGTTGACTGTAAAATTGCACAAACAATTAATTTCTATACGTTACTTACCTATCACAGGATGTTTGAATATGAAAAACAACTGATGAAGAAACCTCTCAAGTGTTATGCAAATATACAAATAGTAAAGGTGTCTTGTTTACCGATGAACAAATACGGATGAGGACGAAGATGATGATCAATTATATTCATTGAAAAGAATACAAAAAGAAAAAAAAAAGAAAATGAAACGGAATATACACCTGATGAAATTGATAAGAACAAAAATAACTAGTTGATGTAATAACTCTCTTGTCTTTACTTTTCATATCAAAACCAACCATCATTCAATTTGATCTCATATTGGGTCGGCTCATTTTTCTATCATTACATTGCCATTTTCTACGCTTCATTTAATTTTATTCTTTGTATCTCTTACTTTATAATGATTAAAATTTGATAAAATACGACAATGATAACTATAACTATTAGAAAACATAATTGGTTGTATATATTTATATACTCTCTTCTTTCTTTTTCTCTCATTATTCATTCGAAGATGAACGGTTTATCTCCTTTTGCTGTCTCATTATCACTCACTATATAGATACATCATTTATAATCAATCTTCAATCGCTCTGTACCTATCTTATGAATATATCATTCGTTGCTCAATAATGTGATTCGCTTGAACAATTCTCTCCTTTTTTTTTTCAAACGATCGTCTACAAAAGAATATAATCAAATATGCAATAAATTCAATTTTTTCAATTGATAACTATTTTCAAATTACATCACATTTGGTATTCACACATATGTATACATATATATATATATATATAAATATATCTATCTAATGAGCCAATTGGACAACTAAAGTACATACCTATCAAAAAGAAATCTGTTGCTCAATCAGAGTAATTAGACTGCTCACTGTCTTTTCTCTTTATCCGAAAACGAATCGATTTGTACGAAGGATCAAACTTGTCACATTGGTGTAATAATTTGATCATCAGTCGTGCTCTACTACAATTAATCAAAAGACTCAGACAAAGCCAATTTAGAAGGAAAAATGGTTAATATTATTTAGAAATAATATTGAGTAATCGTGAGAGAAACCAAGACAGATTTATATGAGCAAAGAAAAAGCAATTGCCTTGTGTTGAAGTAAGTGTGAAATTATGTTGAACAAATATATGTATACATACTGAATGGTTACAACTTTTTTTTTTTTTTTTGAAGCTGATAAATATAGAATGCGTCAGTTGGCCTGGTAGTGTGGTCGCTAAATATGTGTGTTTTACCTTTGCCTATTATAAACTTTAATGATTACTCAAAAAAAAATAATAATAATATCTGCCAATAACTATAAGCATAAATACATACAAGCAGTAGTACTTATCGGTAAAAGGAAAAGAGATCGTTGACATCGCCATGGGTAGAATCTTATTTTTCGTGAATGAAAAGCAACCGACTTTTGCTTTTGTTCGTCGATAAAAGAAAAAAGAAAGAAAGAGAGAAAATTGGTATAATTTATGTAAATATTGTACATGCATGTATGTACATATGTGTTGCAAAAGAAGAATCAGTCAGATGATGAAATTTTGTATTTCTCTGGTAATAACGAAGGTATATACATATAAAGCAAAATTTTTCTTTTTTTTTCCTCTCTCTCTCTCTCTCTCTCTCTCTCTGATTTCTTCTCATCATCGAAGTGTCGATTGAGATTTAGTTTAGCGTCATTGCTTTTACTTACTATAAGGTTGCATCATCATTATATTACCAGCATTATATTGTATGCTTTGTCGCCTAAGTCCATTTGAATTAGAAGGAAGTTCAAGGCTCGTTTGCATAAGCTTCTAAGCTAATGAAAAATATAGCAAAGAAAACGAAAGATAAAAATAAACATACATTTCAATTAGGTATATTATATATTAGTCAGCAAGTAAATGATGATCTAATTTGTCAAGCATATGAACAATGAAAACATATCTATTTCGTTAGGTTACCTTTTGATCATCATCATTCGTTTATTTTCAATTAAAAATAAAGAAGACAACGAAAAGATGAAGATCACTATATTATATAGAAAGTTCATTGGTGATTTTAAGATATCAACTTCATACATTTCATTTGTATTATGACATGTATCAGACAAAGAAGAATCCATATAGATATATAATAGGTCAATATTATCCAAGTTTTTTTATTTTTCAAATATGAATTACACTGACATTCGTTATTGTTTGATATAAGAAAAAAAAATGAAAATGCACATAGAAGAATTGCATCATATATATGACAAAGCATCTGTAATCTTTGCAAACTAGGAGAGCATCTTGTTATTATTTTTTTTTCTCTATTCGTAATTCAGTTGCATTATCACTTTTTCAATTAATCTTCTATAAATTGACATTTAACTTCTAGTTGAATCCTCTAAAAACAAAAAGAATGAAAAAAATTGAATCAAGTAAAAACAACCAACAAACCATTTCAAGAGTATTCTGTAGTGCTTCACATATCATTTATTATCACTTTATTTCTGTTCTGATTCTTCAGGTAATTGAGCTGAATTATCATAAAATAATAATGAAAATTTATCACGAGCTGGTAAAGAATTAATAATTGATGGTAAGACAACTAAGAAAGTTTTAAAAACTTACTTAGATAAATAGGAAAAAACACCTGAATGCATATAATATCAAATCATTCACTTTGGCAAGAACATCATTACATCAACTTACGTTTTTGATTACGAGTAAGAAAGTCACTAACTAATCAAATACGGATAATGTAATCAATAGAAAATTAGTAAAATCATTCTAATATGTTTAAAACATCATAAAACCAATCGTCATAAACGATAAATGTCATTAGTGATTAGATAGAATAAGTCTTACACTGAAGCACAAAGTGATCAGTATCTTTTATCAATGAAAAAAGATATGGCTTGATATCAGAATTGGAGGCACATTTCATATTTTGTCAATGACTTGCGATCAGAGTCTTTAGCTAATTATATCGGTTGTAAAAGCACTATAACAATACAAACAGATTTTTCACAAACAAATTCTGATTGCGTATAGTTCTATGAATAATTTGAGAGTAGCTCATTTTGCTTAACTATTTAACTTGATTCATCTGATTATACGAGATCTCACTATATATCAAAAACCATGAACAATATCCAAATAGGTCATATAAAATTAATCTATAGCAAATTTTTGATGGAAAATATCAACATTTATAACAGGTTATTGAAAAGTAATTTGACAAAATGTTTGTTCATTTTTCAGTCTCTTAAAGGAGCCTGCAGATATGTGAAAACATTGAATGAAAATCAGAATTTTGTTTTTTTTTCAAATATGGCTTCACAATTTTTCTATGACTTCTGGTTTACAAGTTACGAACTAACCTTTTCGAGATCCGTAAATTGAGTTTGGACAAACTTCAGTGCGCCAAAACTTATTCAAAGTACGAAGCGATAATAATTTCAAATACAACGAATGACAGAGTAAACATTTCTCTATAAAATAGTATACTTGTGATTAGTTTGTTGCAAGTCATTTATCAACAGTGAATATTTTGGTAAGAGACACCATTTCAATTTTATTGATTTCTATGGAAAACAGACTTGAAAAGTGAGCTTGATCATACATGAATGATTGTTCTGAAGCTTTTGATTCTTATATCACTATGTAGAGTATAATACCACTTTTAATTCTATGCAAAAAAAATTATTAATATAATGTATGCAGTAATTGAGATTATTGCTGCAAAAACATCCAAACTTCATTTTCATGTCTCTAAAAGGAGAACTCATAACTCCTAAACCAGAAGTCTTAGAGAAATATTAAGTCTATATTCAGAAAAAATGAATATACTTTTTGTCATATTCATTTTTTGGATAACCCATCATATAATGAAAATAAATTTCGTTCATGAAATAAATAGCAAAATCTATAAAAACTGAGTATAATCAATGAAAACTTTGCATTTTCAAGTAATTCATAACAGCAACAATCTAGAAAGCTATATTTTATTAAGTTGTTTATTACTTTAAACAACATTTTCATAATCATTTAGTATTTGTATAAAAAAGATTCCACTTGTCAATGTAAATAATTCTTGTGTCTTTATATGATCAAAAGGAAAACTTTCTCCAAGTCAAACTCTATTTATTAATTAGCTACATATATTAACACATATCAAATCGTATAGAAATATTCGATTAAATATACATATATTCAACTCATAAATACTCAAAAACAAATATTATCTTTGGACAATTTTTAACTTATATTGATAAATTATAGGTGAGAAAATCGATTGATATTGAATGCTTATGTTTTTTCAATTAAATTTGTATCCAATAATTTCTGTAAACGTTCTTCACAATTATCATAACCATAAAGTTTGCATTTTTGTAACCATAAATTACAAATGGCATCATTAGCATTTCCCTTTGATAAATCACCTTGCAGACCTTGAGGAAAAGTAAAATCCGGAATAAAGTTTGCTACCAATGATGGATCATCTTGAATACCTTGTGGATTCGAACCAATGGTACTTGTAAAACGTCGAATTGTTATACATGAAATGCCTCGTATAAGAAGAGACATGATCTAAAACAACAAACAGTTTATCTGCATTGTTAATCTCATTCAAAACAAAATCATTAGAAGAAATATTATTGAATGTTGCTTGGTTTTTTTTTCTTATTATTGGAAGAGAAAATAAGAGTACTAATAGAATAAAAATGAGTAATAGTTTATTTAAAATTTTTATTTTCATTTGTTGATGACATTTCTTGTTCAATTTTATTTAATGTGTTTGATGTAACAGCAGCTAAATCATGTGCTGTACCTGATGTTTGTTCTAAATCACGTGTTACATCTTTAAATTTATTTGTCATACCACGACGTATATCAGTAAATTCTTTTGCCATTTGTCTATTTGATTCAAATAGATCACGTAATTTTGTTTGAATATGTGAATTTTGTGATTCTATTTTATCCATGGCTTTTTCAATATCATTTAAAGCTGTTTCTAATTCAACTAATTCTATTTGAATAAAAAAAAAAAAAAAATTTAAAAAAGTGAAAGAAAAAAAAATATCTTTTTTTCCTCTGAGTACCAGAATCTATTTGAGCATCTCTTGAATTATTATTATCATTAGCATGAGGAACGTTATTTAATTCTTTATGGTGATTTGAATGACGATGGTCGGATGTTGTCATTTTTTGTATGCTTTATGAAACAAAAATATTTCTTTTCTAAAAACAATTGTAAATGGTATATAAAAAGCAAATATTTTACTTTTGTCAAGTCATAAGACATAACAACTTAAAATGATGGTATGATGTCAAGAGACAGTAGTGACGTCTATCGATTAATCAAAAGAAGAATTAAATTTAAAGTAATAATTAATGAAAAAGTATTTTTATTCTTATATTAAATTTTTTATTTGAAATTTATTAGATTTTTGGAATTCATTGTGAATGTTAGTTTTATGGTTAACTCACTCACTCGTTCAATGAAAAACTATTGGTTGTGTTAATAAAAATAAGAGGAAAGGAAAAGAGTTCTATTGGCTCATTTCGTTTAATCAATCAAAAAAATAAATCGATAAGAGAACGAAAGGTGGCACACATTTCTATGTTGATGACCATGATGAGATAAAAAATTAATTAAAATAAATACTTTAAGATATTTATTTAAAAACAAAGTAAATAGCAAAAAGAAGAAAATAAAATAAACGATGAGCATGAATCTAGAATGAAGAGCAAAAGGGATAGCAGAAGATTATATGCAAAAAAATGAAGAAAAACTTACCATATACTTGTCTGATACTTACTTATACAAGTGAATATTGTTCTTGGATCAAACGAACCAAGTTCTCGAGGGGCGCTGACCAAAGCGACGACACCACATAAATTCAGTCAAACATGTATCCAATGACGAATGATGTTGGTCTATTTGATTTTTTGGAACAACTTTAGGGGCCCACTCTGATTTTTTAAGATTTTATGCTTTCTAAAGGACGCTTAAGTACTGAAAACGATAGAACAGAAGAGAAAACTTGGTGGTCAGCGACATATAATTTATTTTAGAACTCTTTTCTCTGATTTTCATAATACTGAAATTTCCTCTGATTTTTGTTCGTGATAATTCTTTCAGATATGCCTCTAAATATTCGAACTATTCTCAACTTGTGCGGAAGTGGAGAAAGAGAAGTTCCAGTACCCATACAACAACTGCAAGAATGGCAGCTGATTCCGAAGGCATCGGATTACAGGTGCCCTTGATGTGTCCGCCCATTGACTCTTCGTTCGGATTCTTCACAGTAAGTTATCATATTTTAGTTGATATTGTTTGTTTTATGTATATTTAGCATTTTTTAGGATCGACGGAGTTCGCTGGTGATGTTGTAATTCTGTTCAGATTGGTGGTGGAACATCGAAAAAGAGGAAAAGAAGACAGAGGTGCGATTATTCATTGAAATTTCGAAAAGGCACCTTCTTCGCCCGATTGCATCTTCAGATTTGGCAGATTTTGGTTTTCGTTAATTTGTGGGTTGAGAACGTGCCTTTAACTGTCATTTGTAAGATTTTCAGTTTATTGATAAATTCATTTGATTTTGTTAATTTTACCACTTTATTTAGCTTCTCAAGTTGAAATGGGTTCCATCAGAACTGCAGTAGATTGGGCCTCATTCTGTCGTGAAATAATCTTTGACGCAATGATGATGAACAAACAACAACTTGGTAGTCATGGAGTCGTGGTGGAAATTGATGAATCGAAGTTCGGACGTCGAAAATATTATCGAGGGTACCGTGTGGAAGGTCAATGGGTTTTCGGCATGTTTGAGCGAGGAACAGGCCGTGTCGTGATGATGCCCATTGAGAAGAGGTTTGCTATACTAGAACAATATATTAGTTAATAGCAAGATAACTACTTATTAACATTTTAGAGACAGAGAAACACTGCTTCCAATTATTAAAGAATGGATTTTGCCTGGCACAACAATGATTTCCGACTGCTGGAAGTCATACAACGTCTTGGGTAGTGAGGGCTATGAGCATCTTCGAGTCAACCATTCCATCACATTCAAGGATCCTGAAACAGGTGCTTCCACCAATTCCATCGAAAGTTCATGAAGACACGCAAAGGTCGTCATGCCTCAATATCATCGCAAGAAAGAGTTCTTCCCGTCTCATTTGGCAAAATACATGTTCATGAAGCAATGTCATGCACAAGATCTGGATCCGACTGTGGAGTTCTTTCGATTAGCTGGCAGACTCTACAATTCGCTGAAGAAGGAAGAAGAAGACAAAGAGCAACTCAACGATATTGAGAATGAAGAAGCGGAGAATAATGATCTTAATTGATTGAGATTTATGGTTGTTCATTTATATGAATAATATGGTTGTTTACTGATGTCCTGAAATCGGGCATATTGACTTGACCGCCAAGTTTTTTCTTCTGTACTATCGTTTTCAACACCTAAGAATCCCTTAGAAAGCATAAAATCTTAAAAAAATCAGAGTGGGCCCGTAAAGTAAAGTAATACCATTAAACATATATAAGTCGATGAGATCTAGCCCGAAATGTCTTGTCTAAATGGGTGAAACATCTTGTTTATACAGTTATTTGTCTTAATTTTTTAGAGTGCATGAAAGTATATGTAGCTTATCTCAACCTTGGACATTTTTTCTATTGGAGAAATAATTGATAATGAACAAAATATTATAATTAATAATATTTGTCTTAATCAATTAGTTAATTCGTCTAGTTTAATTTCTGATTCAATAGTGTATTTATTTATTTAATGGTTGTTTTTATTCTTCTTCTGTTTGTTCCATTCTCATTTATATATTTTTACTTTTTATATTCATAAAAACAACAAATCAAAAGATGAAGTCAATATGAATAACAATGAGCAAAAAGGGTGTCGGTGTGGGGTGTGGGTGTGAATGGGTGTGGGTGTAGTTCTTTTAACCAACACTCACACCCACACCCGCACCCTTGGTGTAATATGAGAATGAAATGGTATTGGTGCTAAAGGATTTCTAGTGAATTCTTCAATTTCGATGCTTTTGAACCGGGTAATTATTTTTGTCCATATCTTTTTGATGAATGCAGGTGTGCAAAATGTAATAGATAAAATATAAATAATGGATATAAGCAATAAAACAAGAGCGCGACCGAATAAAAATCGTAGACTTGATTGATTATCAGATGAACGAGGGTGAGTTGTTCGGATATCACACGATCATCTTTTCTTAAACCATTTTTTCTTCTCTCACCTTACTGTCACCAGCCATTTCCCATTTCGACAATGAACAATTTTGTATTCTGTGTAAAAAGTACAATACAAAAAAATTGCTATTACAATCAGTCAATAAAGAACAATGCAATAAATAGTCAATGAACCATTTGTAATCAATTATAATTAGTTATTAATTCTAATCATAATATTATCGCATGAGAATATACGAAGAACTTTTTTTGACAGAAATAATTGGTAACTCATTATTATATTTAAATAACAAACAGTAATTGATTATTTTAAAATCATACTCAAAAAACCGTTTTTTCATGGAATTTCATATTAACATGATATTGTTAAAATGTTGACTTTTTTGCATCCTTATCTGTAGTTCGTAATGTAGCATAAGTTTAATTTTCTCAGAAACTTTCTATTGAAAACTCGTCTGGCAACATCTTTAAATAGAACTATTTATGATTATAATCGTTTTAATCCTCGTGTCTACATTAAGAAGTTCAGTGGTCTATCATCGGTTACAACCACTATAATTATCATTTTGGCTTCAATGATAAGCAGTGAATAAAAGTGATTCAAATAATACTTCAAATCTTTATAAAGAGTTTCCAATACCCAAGATCCCTCTGAAGAGTTCGTGTATATGAAATTTTCTTAGTTTTGTACGTTTAGCTTTGTAATAAACGTTTCGATTTTATTTGGTATTTATTTTTGTTCTTGTTGAGAACGTCATTGTGTCACATAAGTTTAAGTTTCCAGTCGCGAATCAACATTTTTCTGCTTGAACTTAGATCTGATAACTGTAGTCTTATTTTCACAAAATATACCTACGCAGTTTTTCGATGGAAATACTCGTTGACAACTGAAGTCTAAATATAGTTAATCACAGAAAGATTTCTACATTTAAATACGACATAATACTCTTGTCTTGCCTATTTGAAGCTTTCTATCCTATGAACTAAGAATATCAGTTCATTTCACAAGATGGAAACTGTATGATACGTAATTCTATATTTCAGGTACAAACATATGGTAAAGAAGAATGTGGCCTTGAATGGAAAAAATCTCATGAAATAACAACACGTGATAGTAGGTATTTAGCCCCATGATAAGAAAATGTGACTACTCTATCACCATATTTTAAATCCTGTTAAATGATTTTTCTTTCCTTTTAGTTGATATTGAATATTGGAATAATATTGCTAAATTTCGAAGATTTTTACAACGCATTGGTAATAATAGATTAGTTTTTATCGATGAAATGGCCATTTATTCAATTATGATTCTTCATCGAACACTTGTTGCTTCTGAACATGAACCACTAATGATTGTAGAAAAACCATCGGCTTATGCCGAACGTTATGACTTTATCGGTGCTATCAATAGATCTCAAGCTATTGCTTGTATGATTTTATCACCTACTGATCGAAAAAATCGACATATTGAAGGTATTACAAAAGAAATATTGAATGAATGGATTGTCAACACACTAACACCAGCAATTAATCGATTATCTGTTAATAATGTTTACTTGATATGTGATAAGAGTCGCGTTCATAACAAGGCAGATATGATTCAAGCATTAAAGACTGGTAAATGTAAATCAATCATTGACGTTTGTTATATGCCCACAGCCTCAGCAAAACATATATCACCATTAGACAGTCCAATTTGGCACAGTATCAAGGAACGTAGTCGAAGTCAATATCGAGTCACAACAGCAAATCTTCCATCACTACTTTCAGAAACTTTTTTATCATTATCGAAACGAGAAATCAAGAATGCATATCGAAAATGCTGTATTGCACGTGGAGCTGATGTGTTTTATGGCAAATAACCTATGTAAATAAATGTTTTTGTTTTTGTAATCGAGATGAAACATAAATTGTACAAAAAAAGCATCATTTTTTCTTGTAAGCCATTGTTTGTCCATGTGATTTCTTCTTTTTTTTATTTTCCTTTATTTATGATCAATACACCAGAAGATGGAGAAAATTCTGGGCTTTCTCTTAGTATAATTATTATTGAAAAAAGAGCGAATTAAAGTTGTATAAAGTAAGAAATACCTACAGAGGGGAAAATCAATCGAGGTGCGCAGTATATAGAGTAGAATTTGACCCTCCCATTCCGCCATTCTTTCTCTCCTCCACAAATCGTGACAGACACCAGTCAAAGACCATCACCGACGCTTCCAACGCTCCTCACAGATCTAGATAGACGTTTGATTAAGTAAAACGATTGTGAAGAAATATGCCCAAAATAGATAGAATATAATACTTTCCCAACAATGAATAGCAGCAACTATATCTTGACCCACTCTTTAGTCCCGCAGGAATTGCGCTAACAGCTTTCTCAGTTCGATCAGTTGATCGATCGAAACAAAAATACCCGATTAACGGAAATAAAAGGTCTGATTTGGGTAAAACGTAAATGTCTTTTACAGAAAAGTATTTTATGATAAATGGGAAGAACAATTATCCCTTTTTCAAAGATATCGAGTGTTCCAACAATTGACATTAGTAGCTTCGTACCACATTTCGCAAGAGAATGAAATTCGAATGCCATCTAGTTTTATAAATGATATCTTCAGTCTTGACTCCTGATTATAATTTTGATTGATAAGTGTTTTATTGATCGTCTTCAAAAAAGAATCTTAGGTTAAAAAAGAAAGAGACAACTGCTGTAAATAACATTTTAAAATACTGTTTAAAAATTCAAAGTCAGATGACTTTGATAGTATACGCCTCAATTGAATTTTTCGGCGGTATTTTAGATTTTAACGTTGAACCTTTTCTTTGTAATAAATAATCATGTTTGATCCAGAATTAACGACTAAAATAGCGTGATTTGCCCTCAATTATATTTGGTTTTTACACTTATACAGAGATAAAATTTGCAAATGTGCAATCAAGTGAAGAATGTATGTAATTAGTGATCTTTCTCTGTGAATTTATTAATCTGTGAGGTACAATCTAGGATTAACTCGCACGATTCTTGATAGCTCCTTAAACATGAAGTCAAGCAATATATGTATTATGTGTCTACTTTGGCTTTAATTGTGAGGCAGTTATGCACACAATAATCTCGCGTAACATATTGACTTTAATTTTTTTCTTTTTTATAAATCATAAGTTTCCTGATCTTGGTATGTTGAATGATAGTTGACCACACTGAGTAAATATAATGAACAAAATTTCATCTCAAACTGTCATGTCTAAAGAGAGTTATAAGTCAAACAAAGTAAAATAATGTCGGATAACATTTAGTATGACAAGTGAATTTTCAAGTTTTATGTTATATTTTTTCTTAACTAAAAGAAATACAATTTTCTCAACTTTTTTGACGGTTTTATCTTCCATTTACTGGCTTTCATTCAACATCAGCCCAATTAACTTTAGACAGATTGTTTAAGCTCAAAGTTATTTTTAATCTCGCGTGGCAGAAAATCGAGGAATGAATGTACATCTGATATTGAAAAAAAAAGTAATTAAAATCGTAATAAAAGAGCCAGTCAGCCTCATGTTCAAAAGGCACAGACTGTTTACTATAAATTCGTCAATTTTCGAAATTCATATGACAAGAGAACAAATTGGTTATACGTCATTTTCTGTCAATAGACGGCAGTAAAAATCGATCTTTTTAACTTAATGCGTCTAATATCTTGAGACTGATTTCATTAACTTAATGCGTCTAATATCTTGAGACTGATTTCAGATAACTTCATGATTTTTTGTATGACAGCGGCTATTTCTTACAGGAGTCTGCTCTGAAAAATTATAAGAATTGATTTATAGGAACTGGAGATATTGAACTTTTACATCTAGAAATATAAGGGTACAATAAAGTTGCAATTCACTCATATGTATTTTGTTCTAATTCTCTTTATTAAATATGCATGATATTGGCACAATTTCGTATGAAAAACTCGTGCATAACCCAGGTCAAAGATGTACGGCGGGAAATGACCGGATCTGATGGATTTCCGGTAAATTCCGGAGGCAGCATTCCAATCGGAAATTTCCTGGATTTTTTCTGATGATTTTCGGCCAGTTCCTTCCGGAAAGCGCCGAAAGTTGGCAGGAATCCACCGGAAAAAATCCTGACAATTTCCCACTGGAATATTGCTTCCATGTTCCGACGATTTCCTGCAGGATATGGTGACTTTTCCGCATTTTTCCTGCAGGATTCTGGGGGAATCCAGTAGCCGGAATCTTTGACCTGGGGATAAAAAATAAAAGTTTTTTTTGCACATTTTCTTAATAGTTTGGTTCCTTCGAACTACATTCAGTTTGACGCCGTTGTGGGAGAAGTTCAATTGGTTATCGTTGACAAAAATCGCCGCTCGATTGTCGGAAAGGAGTGAATATGTGACTGTTGTTGACAAAAATTGCTATATGGCTGATGTTGAGAACAATACCCAACCAGTTGGCGCTGAGGAAAATGTTGACGCGGTTGATAATTTTGGGAATTCGCAGAGCTGATCCGACCAGAGCGATGTTGGAGGTGTAACGATTTCTTAATGAAAAAAAAAATGTTGTTTTTTTCCAGCGAAACCAATCTATTTTTTGCGTTCTCTTAGAAAAGAAAAGTTCATCCATAATGTTGGCTGTCTCGGACCAGTTCGGTTGATAGGATTGTTGTGAACCCATTGAATACCAACTTAAACGTCGTTATCGTTCTTTTTCTCTGCCTTATATATATATATATATCGCAGGAGAAATTAAAATTTAGGAAAATTTTAAATTTTCCCGAATACAGAGTTTAAACTTTATTAGTTTTATATTTCAAAAATTGTTGTAGAAGTTCAGCAACAGGTTCAGCTTCCGTACTCTTTAACGGATAAGTCCAGTACAATTTAGTGAAATGATCCTTTGTATGAAAAATCCATTTATACTCTCCATCCGAGATGCTCCTCATATCTATCAAATTCATCTGAAGATGAGTCAAATATCCGATGGGCACGATCGGCTTTTCTTACATATAAAAAAAATACTACGCTTATTCTTATTCTCGCATTAACCTTAACCTACCGACCATTGGTTTTGGAAATTGTTTTCTATCACAACATACATCACATTGTGAGATAAAGAGTTTTACACTCTCTAACGGAACCCATGCATATTGATTATTCATCTGAAAAAATACACTGTGATTTGATTATAAACCTATACATTATATACCTCTGACCGCGTCTTGTCGCAACCGTGATGACCACTCTTTCATGACATTGTTTGATTTTTGTGTACAAATTTTTGTATATGACAATAGGATGACTAGATTTAATCTCATATACAACATTTTGATCACCGATTTTAATTAATTTAAAATTTTTATATACCCAGAATTTGAGCTGAGAATCTCCCAACCATCTCGGAGAACCAAAAATATCATCATACAATGACTGTATCATAGAAAACTCATATTGAAACTAGTGATTTAAACCTTGAATATGATTATCAATTAATTTATAAAAGTATTCCATGATTATAAGAACGTGACACAAGAATATCTGCTTAAATAATGTGTGCAACGTTTGTTTAAATGTACATTTTTACTCCGTTCTCGTCTTCTCGCGATTCTACCCGCGTAAAAGATATTTTAATTTTTCCTATAGGAAAAATTGAAATTTAATTTCTTCTAGAAGAAATTAAAATTTTAATTTCCCCTGCGACATATATATGTTGTGCCGAGGTTATAACTTCGACACAAAATTTTGTCGAACTTATTTCAGATCAACTAAACACTAAATAATTATTCAATAATTGATGATATCATAATAAAAAATGTATATTCATAGTTAATTTTGCCTTGTAATAACATAAATAGAATTTTTTAAAAATAAGTAAATTATGAAAAGATTATTCAAAAACATTAAAAATTACACTTCGTTGATGTTTTATATAATTATTGTTCAACTCATACTACATTAAGTTCTATATTGAATGAAAAATCTCAGGAGTACTACAGCACCTCTTAACAAACAAATGATGTGTATAATCATGGCAACTGCCAAAATTTATTTTTCGAAACCATTTGAAACGTTACTGTGAATCTTAGTATTCAATTTAATGTAAAATATTAAGACTAAGGATGAGGATATGATGAGTACTTGTAAGAGATGAAAGTGAAGACGGTTGTATCCCTCTTCGCTGACAAGCATTTCGTCGAAAGATTTGTAGGATGCTTTAGACTGTTGCGAGTCCTTTAATTCTTATATAGGCTTGTTCAGCATGAAGAGATCGACTCATTTTGCCCTCACCCTCACCCTCACCTTTGGAGCGCTATCCGTGGCCAAAAAGTACTTTCGACGAAGTATGTTTCAGCGAAGAGCATATATACCAAAAACTCTAACAAAAACCATAATCAAGATTTAGAACTGATAATATGAAATTTTAGCAATATATTCATAATAAATGGTTCGATGTTGTTTTAGGAGCTACCAATAAAGTTGAAACAATGCTGAACATCTTAAACTGGTGCATCACATGTGATAGATGCTCATCAAAGCATTCAACATAAAAAAACAGCTGACAAATTTAAGCAGCTGTGAAGACTATTCAACTGCTAGTTCAACATCTCGCTAAATAGTCCTACAGATTAAATAGTAACTCATAAAGTCATGTTCTATCTAAATAAATAGCTCAGAAGTACCTAAACAGCTATCAAAATTAAAATAGCTATGACGATTTAAATAATTACAACAATTTCAATAGCTATGCAGACTTATTATGAAGTATTGAACATCTTTAAATTGTATTGGAGATCAAATAGCTATTGATGAAATCATTTTCTATGAAAATAAGTAGGTGACAATTATTAAAATAGATATAAAGATTT